GAGTAGAGATCTCTTTCCTGAGACCCTGAATTTCCCATGTTTTACACCCAGCTATTTCAATCCGTTACTTACCTTACTTCTTGACTTTGTTGCGCGTCCACTCCTCGGAGCCATCCCCTCACCTGACGTTTAAGAGTTCCCCTGTATTCAGGTCCCTGTTCGGGCACCAGATATGAGTGTTCTCTCATAGCTGCAGCCAGCACGGCTAGAGAGTGGACGAGTCCTGAGTAGGGGTGACTGGGGATTGAGAAAAAGAAAGAGACAGACACAGGAACAGTAGGGAAAGCTGAGACCAGGTGGGACACTGTTCTCGGATGGAGAGACAGTGACCCAGAGCTAGTGCAGTGTGTTTGTTATATACAGCATAATACCAGAAAGTTTTACTACAGTGTAAAACAAAGGAAATTATGTGAAATCATGCTTAAAGATCAAGCTGCAATATTCATTCTTGTGGAGTCTCATAATCGTCAGGCCTGACTGGACCCTGATAATTGCATCCGCACCTGGCACCTGGCTGAACTTAGATAATTACACCCACCCCCTGGCACCTGAGCTAAAGGTCAGGACTGACGACATCCCTGCCTTTGGCAAGGTATGTCTCTAGGACAGTGATGGCGAACCTATGACACACGTGTCAGAGGTGACACGCGAACTCATTTTTTTGGTTGATTTTTCTTTGTTAAATGGCATTTAAATATATAAAATAAATATCAAAAATATAAGTCTTTGTTTTACTATGGTTGCAAATATCAAAAAATTTCTATATGTGATATGGCACCAGAGTTAAGTTAGGGTTTTTCAAAATGATGACGCGCCGAGCTCAAAAGGTTCGCCATCACTGCTCTAGGACATGGCTTTGCTGATGCTGCTGGACTCAGCCGTCCACCCACAGCTCAGGCACTCTGTACAATAGTCATTAAAACTTTATGCAGATATGACAGTATGCTTCATGGACTGCTGCATCAAATGGTGGTTATAATGGAGATGAGTCTTCTCACAAGGAATCGATGGGCTTAAAATAGGAGTATTTTAATTTATTAATATAGAAGTTGTTCAAGGTGCTCTTTACCCTGACATTAGAGAACAATGAAGACTTGAAGTGATCACAATAAAATTATATCAATAAATTCCATGTGTTCATGAGGAAGTGAGTGTGGCAAATAAATAATAGTCTTATAATCAAGTCATAGATTGAATGTTGGGCGCCACGTGTCCTATGTGAACATCTTATGAATTATGTATAGATTTCCCACCATAACTCCCCTCCACCCAGTTCCAACCCCACCCTCTGCCCTCACTCCCCACCCACTGTCCTCATCCATAGGTGCACGATTATTGTCTAATCTCTTCCCGCATATAATCACCAGTTCATTCTGTACATCAGATTATTTATTCACTTGATTCTTAGATTCACTTGTTGATAGATGCATGTTTGTTGTTCACAATTTGTATCTTTACCTTTTTCTTCTTCCTCTTCTTAAAGGATACCTTTCAGCATTTCGTCTAATACTGGTTTAGTGGTGATGAACTCCTTTAGCTTTTCCTTATCTGTGAAGCTCTTTATCTGACCTTCAATTCTGAATGATAGCTTTGCTGGATAAAGTAATCTTGGTTGTAGGTTCTTGGTATTCATCACTTTGAATATTTCTTGCCACTCTCTTCTGGCCTGCATGGTTTCTGTTGAGAAATCAGCTGACAGTCGTATGGGTACTCCCTTATAGGTAATTGACTTTTTTTCTCTTGCTGCTTTTAAGATTCTCTCTTTGTCTTTTGCTCTTGGCATTTTAATTATGATGTGTCTTGGTGTGGTCCTCTTTGGATTCCTTTTGTTTGGGGTTCTCTGCTCTTCTTGGACCTGTAAGTCCATTTCTTTCACCAGGTGGGGGAAGTTTTCTGCCATTATTTCTTCAAATAGGTTTTCAATATCTTGCTGTCTCTCATCTTCTGGCACCCCAATTATTCTGATGTTTGTACGCTTGAAGCTGTCCCAGAGGCTCCTTACACTATCTTCGTATTTTTGGATTCTTTTTTCATTTTGCTTTTCCGGTTGGGTGTTTTTTGCTTCTTCGTATTTCAAATCTTTGACTTGATTCTTGCGCTCCTCTGGTCTGCTGTTGGGAGTCTGTATAATATTCTTTATTTCAGTCAGTGTATGCTTAATTTCTAGTTGGTCCTTTATCACAACATCGAGGGTCTCATTAGATTTCTTGAGGATCTCACTACATTTATCGGCGGTCTCACCAGTCTTTTCGAGGGCCTTACTCAATTTATCGGCGGCTTCTAAACAGTTCTTTAAAGACCTTAAAAGTGTGGTTTTGAACTCTATATCCAACAGTTTGCTTTCCTCCAATTCTGTCGTTTGTGTCCTGTGTTTCATTGGTTGAATTTTTTTTTCTTGGAAGAGAGAGAGAGAGGAGAGTGAGATCAATTGGTTGCCTACAGTCACAGGGATTGAACCCACAACCTAGATATGTGTCCTGACTTGGAATGGAACCCACAAACTTTGGTGTATAGGACCATGCGCCAGCACCTGGGTCATGGCAGCCAGGGTGGTTTTGCTTTGTAGTTTTTGTTGTTGTTGTTATTTTAAAAAATATATATATATTTGTATGATTTCAGAGAGGAAAGAAGGAGAGATAGAAACATCAATGAGGAGAAAGAGGGTCATTGATTGGCTGCATGCCCACACTGGGAATGGGCCCACAACCCAGGCATATGCCCTAACCGGGAATCAAAGCATGACCTCCTTGTTCATAGGTTGACACCACTAAGCCACACAGGCTGGGCTTTGCTTTTTTTTTAAACCAACATCCATTTCACTATAAATTGGAAGTAGTTTTTGACCCTGCACCGTTTAAATTGTTCCCCTCTCTGGAAAATGTTTGCATACAATGTGCTTGGTCATTTAAACCAAAATTTAGGCCCATGCTGGTTTGGCTCAAGGGATAGAGCCTCGGCCTGCTGACCAAAGGCTCCCGTAGTTCAATTCCGGCCCAGGGCATGTTACAGTCCTACCTGGCCCGGGCCCTGGTCGGGGTGTGTGCAGGGGGCAATTACCGATGTGTTTCTCTCACATTGATATTTCTCTGTCTTTCCCACTCTCTCTAAAAATCAATGGAAAAATATCCCCAGGCATATTAAAATGAGAGGATTAAAAAGATAAATAAATAAAATCAGTTCTGTAATCAGGTAACATGTAATCAGTTAGTTTTTCCTTAATCTCGTTGGCATCAATAATTGTAGTTCTTTTCTTTTATCCCTCCTACAGCAACAAATGCACAGGGCTGTGGCTGGCTTAGCGTAAGTGGGAACATGGGCCTTCACCCATTAAAACTGCTGCAGAAAGTCACCCCACAGGACAACAGAACCAATTACCTTGTGTAATGTAGTGGGATCATGTGCTAATCATTCGCTGAACACTGTTAATCAGCAGTGATTCTTAGATTTAAATATGAAGACTATCATTGTAGATATGTAGTATTTATTTACGTTGGTAAAATTGATTTAGTGTTTTTTCCAACATTTGGCCTATTCACTAAAATTTTGTTAAAAATAACAGTGACCCAGGCAGCGTGGTCAGTGGTTGAGCATCGACCGATGAACCAGGAGGAACATATGCCCAGGTTGCAGGCTTTATCCCCAGTGTGCAGCATGCAGGAGGCAGCCAGTAAATGATTTTCTTGTTGGTAAAATTGCTTCAGTGTTTTCTCCAACATTTGGCCTATTCACTAAAATTTTGTTAAAAATAACAGTGACCCAGGCAGCGTGGTCTGTGGTTGAGCATCGACCTATGAACCAGGAGGTCACGGTTCGACTCCCAGTTGGGACATATGCCCAGGTTGCAGGCTTTATCCCCAGTGTGCAATGTGCAGGAGGCAGCCAGTAAATGATTCTCATCATTGATGTATCTATTGCTCTCTCTGTCTCCCTTCCTCTGTGAAATAAAATATATATATTATTTAAAAATAAGTGAATTAATTGTTGTGGCAGAATGCATGGGAGAACGATCAGCCAGCACTCTGAGGGAGGAAAGTTTAACCTTTATTTCGCAGATCTGCTAGTCCAAGGGAATTCTGGATCCAAGGCCTGAAATGAACTCATGGGGAGGCTCTGACCTATATATCTCCTCCTGTGGCGGCCCCTGAAAGCCCCCCACAGCTCTGCCCAAGTCAGTCTTGGCAGGGCCTTGGAGGCATGCTCCACAGGTGCACCCAAGTCAGCTGTGGTCTGGCCCTGAGGTTAGGCTCTGCAGCTCCGCCCAAGTCAGTCAGAGTGGGGAAATAAGACTATGGTTTCAACCAGATACTGAACTAGGTTGCAAGGACCCCCACCCCCACCCCATTTTCCTTTTCAGTTAGAATGAGTGTTATGCTAGTATCAGACTCACCAATCAGGGGGATTATTATTGAGATGTAGGGATGAAAAGAGGCCACATGCTAACCTGACAAGTTCAGGGAAGGCCTGTGTGTGATGGCCTTGAAAATTCAGAGAGCTAGAATAACCACAAAGGATGGTCTGAAATTAAACTATTTTAACTAGAAGCAGTTTATGGCAGATAGTCATGTTCCAGGCTAGCATCTCCCTTACTTAATCTTTCCTTTACCTACACTGTCCATTGTCTTTTGCATATAAGATTGCATACCTTGGCAATGTCAGGGTGAATCCCCCTATTTCAGACCCCTCAGTGAACAACCAATGAGGGGCTGAAACCATAACTCCTCTCATTGTTATTGTTATTGTTAGGTGGCTCAGGTGGTGGCATAAATAAAGAGAGCCGAGTAAAAGGAAGAAAAGGAAAGGTTTTATTCTGTGTCCCTGGGCGACCCACGGATCCCAAAGACAGGGCCAGTGGATACGTGCCCACATGGAGGGGGTGCTTTCTTTTATACTGCGGTTGGGTGAGGGGCGGGGACATGAACTGAGGAAGTCCCCACCACAGGGCACAGGGGGTCAGCAGGGTATTCAGGAAGGAGTCAGTATCTGTGTGGGGGTTGTGTGGATTCCGATATCTGTGTCTCGAATGTTGATCTGTTAGAAATTCCGGGGGTGGGGGGGGGTGGGTGTAATCCATTATCTTGTCACGCATCTGCATGTATATGATCCTGGGCTCTCTCTGACCTAACATCCTGGCCTTTTGGTGATAGGGGATGCTGACTCGTTCTGTTTCTAGCTGACCAGGGACATCGAGAGGGGGTTTTAAAGGCCAGGGTCAGGCAGAGGTAGGTCAGAGGGGAGCCGGCTGTAGGGATGGAGCAGGAGCTGATTCACTTGAGGAGGCAGGGATGAGAATCAGGGGCCCTACCATGGGTAGGACCCAGGTAGCTAAGGGGCTTTGGAACCAGCCGAAAGGAGAGTTGTCCTGGGAGTGTCTTGCATGTAGTTCTTCACTCAGCTTAGTCGGGGTCTGCACGTTTTGTTCCACTACTCTGGACTTGATGAAGTAGCAGCATTCTTCCTGAAGAAATATGGAGGTTCCTCCTTTTTCTGCAGTCAGAAGGTCTGAGGTGTGCTGGTTCTGTAGGGATACTTGGGTTACTGATGTCACTTGTCGCTGTAGGGAGGCTAAAGAGGCAGTAGTGGACTCCAGGGCTAACTAGAGCTTGTCATTAAAGTCCTGAGCAGTGACCAGACTGCTGGGGTCCAACCCCAGCAGGTCCAGGGGTCCCCAAAGGTGTGGACGGAGACAGCCTTCAGTTGATCAGCAGCCTAGCCAGGACCTCTAGCCAGGATCTCCAGCCAAAGTTCTGGTCGGAGTTCTGGTTAGGAACTGATCAGGATCTGATGTTTATTGTCTTGTTACATCTATATTTATACCAGCCGATTTTAATCCTGTCAATTTCTATTACAAAGGTTAGGGCGTTTCTTATCTCCATTCCAGGGAGTAAAGATTATGTAGCTTAACTACCCGCCTGGCACTTAATTAAGGGGTTGTATCCCCTCCCTAACCTCGGGGAAAAATCCCCACCTGGGGAAACAACCTTTCTCGGAGAGGTGACCTTGGTTAAAACACATGGCACTAAGGAGAGCAAACATATTAAGAACAATATGCTATATATGCCAGGTCCCTTGAAACATATGCTGTGCAGATGTTTCTTTCCTGCAGCGACTGTGTCAAGCAGCAAGGATGGACCGGCTTCCAGCAAATTCCCCCTTTGGACACCCCCCCCCCCGCGAGGTCTATTGAGGTATCGAGGTAGCCATACTCACCCCTAACATGATAACATGACAGGGAGGAAGGCGGCCAGCGGGTCCAGGGGCGGGATGGAGGGAGCAGCCAGGCGAGCTCTGACTCTCCATATAAGGTTTGTTGGGGAACTACGGTGACCACGAAGCAAGGCCCAGGGTCAGAGGAGTTCATGCAGTTGCTTAAGGTGCCGTTGCACCAAAAGAAGGTATCCGGGCTGGCCTTGGTGAGACTGGCTACGGTGTGGTTTTGGGCACAGTTCCAAGTGACCCGTCCCCCAGTTACCGGATTACTGGTCTGGTAGCCCATATTTATAGAAGTCATGCAGCTCCGGGGTCCTCTTGAGCCTGGAGAGGTGGTGCCACGACGGGTCGCCGAGCAGCTTGGCCGCGGTGGGGGCTGTGAGGATTACAGTGTGAGGTCCCATCCACCGAGGCTCCAAAGCTTGTGGATGTAGGTTCTTAAGGAGGACCGAGTCACCAGGTTGAAGGGCTGGTCCTCGGGAGTCCTGGTCGGTTGGCTCTGGTTTGGGCAGAAACCTGTTCTCGTGTTCTGGGAGCAATTGCCTGGATAAGATACGGAATATAAGTACCCAGGGGAGGGGGATCAGTAAGGA